TCTTTTTAAAGACCTGGCTTTTTCTTTCATTGTTTTTTTTTTCTTTCCTCTAATTTTTAGTCTCGATGAAAATACTTCATTATTTTCTTCATTTTACTTTCTTTTCTTTTTTTTCTCTTTTTTTGGTGGGAAAGCAGAATTTATTTAGAGGACAGAAAAGCTCCCAGAGTGGGAGGGGACCTGAGAGGGTTGCCCCATCTTACTTTTTTTAGGGTTAATTTCTTTTTCTTTCTTAATCTCTTAAAATGGACACCTATATTATTAATGTTAGTGCTTCCTTTTACAATATGCATATTTAATGCTATAAGTTTCAGAACTACTTTAGCTGCATTCCATAGATTTTTATATGTTATATTTTTATTTTCATTCAGTTCAAAATATTTTCTAATTTCTTTGGAGACTTTCTCTTTGACCTGTGAAGTATTTAGAAGTGTGTTATTCTTTTATTCATTTCTAGTTTATAGAAATTAGTATGGTTGTTTTATAGCTACCATATTATTATGTATTTTCTGATCATTTTCTGTTTTTTGTTTGTGCCTCTGAATTTTTTTGAGCATTTTTCAGTGTTTTGTTTTGATTTATTAGTATCATTTCAACTTTTTTTAGTGTATGCTATAAGTTACAGTGTGTACGTCTAACTTTTCACAATCTAGTTTTTTTAACCACTTAAAGTAAAATGTGGAAACATTAAAACCGTATATGTTCCTTTTCCCCACCTTTTTTATGTTGACCTATGCACTGCATTTACATATATTGAAAAATCCCACAGACAGTGTAATGTATTTTGCTTTCAACAGTCATACATATTTTAAAGAATTTATGAGGAGAAAAATGAATATATTATATTTGCCAGTTATTTGCAATTTCTGTTGTTCTTTTTTCACTCTTGAAGTTCTAGATTGCCCCATATTATTTTGTCTTCAGTCGGAAGAACTTCCTGTATCATTTCTTTTAGAGCACATCTGCTTATGCTAAATTTTTCACATTCTTTTTTTGAAAATGTCTTTGCTTTTATTGCTGATGTATATTTTTGCTGATATACAATACTGAATTGATAGTTCTTTGACCGCTTTAAAGATATTGTTCTAGAGTCATCTCATTGCCATTGTTTCTGATGAGAAATCTACAATCATTTGAATCATTGTTCCCCTATTTGTAATGTGCTATTTTTTTTCGGACTACTTTCAGTACTATTTCATTATCTTTTGCTTTTCAGCAGTTTATCTTTGAGTTTATCTTTTTTGAAGTTCACTGAGGTTACTGAATCTATAAATTTATATCTTTAACCTAATTTGGGAAGTTTTTGCCCATTATTTCTTGGTAATTGTTTTCTGGACTAATCTCTTTCTCTTTTCCTTCTGGGTCTCAATTGGCAAAACTGTTAGACATTTCCATACTGTTTTACAATTTCTTAGTCTCTTTTCATTGTTTTTTGATTCTTTTTTCTTTTTGTTCCTCAGTTTGTATACTTTCTGTTGACCTATGTTCGAGTTCACTGACTCTCTACTCTGTTATCTCCATTCTGCTGAGTTCATCTAGTGAATGTTGAATTTTAAGTATTGTTTTTTTCTGTTCTTAAATTTACATTGGTTCATTTTAAGTTTTCTGTTTCCTTATTGATAACATTGGTATTTTCATTTATTTCAGGTGTGCTCACTTTTGTACTATACAATTTTAAAGTATTTGTCTGATAATCCCAACAACTGGGACATCTTAGGGTTGGTATCTGTTGATTATTTTTTTCCCTTGAGAATTGATTGCCCTTTTATATTTTTTGTTCACTGCGTAATTTACTTTTCCCCATTTTTTTTTTTAATCTTATATTTTGAAACTCTTTTTTTATTAAAATCCTCTGAATATTTTGGTTTTGTTTTATTTTAGCAGACAGTACACCTTGGTATGTCCAGACTACATTTCCTGTCCTGGTCTGGTTCCAGAATCAATTCAGTTCTCAAAACATTTGCTCTGCTTTCTCAGTCTGTTACATACAACATGGCAGGGAACCCAAGGCTTGTGTTAGTGCATACACAGAAGTAGAGGAGTATCTTCCTCAGTTTTTTCCTTTCTGGGATTTCCCCATACTCTCTGACTTCCTCGGGCCCATTTTCTTTCTCCTGGGTAGAAAGACAGGTTTTGCTCTTAAGAGTTTTTGCTTCTTTGTAGTGTTGTGCAGAATCACATGTCTGGAGTCAACTTTAGGACAAAGTGATAAGAGAAAAAATATTGGAGATTTCCTTTTCCATTTTTGGACCATGGGGGCATCCTTGCTTGGGTATTTTAACTATTGAAACAGGATTTTTTCCCCTAGATGATAGGTGCTTTCAGCACAGCTACCACAACTACAGCCATTCCATGACTGGGGTTGGCCTTGTGGTAGAAGTAGGAGAGACAAGCAAAACAAAGCAAAACAAAACAAAGAAGTCATGATTTCCCAGATACTCTGGTTTTCTTTTCTTTTCTTTTTTTGAGTTGGAGTCTCACTTTGTCACCCAGGCTGGGGTGCAGTGGCATGCTCATGGCCACCCCAGTGTCGACCTGCTGGGCTTAGGTGAGCCTTCTGGCTCAGCCTTCCAAGTTGCCAGAACTATAGGTGCACTACCACACCCGGCTAATTTTTTATTTATTGTAGAGATGTTTTGCCAAATTGCGCGGACTGGTCTTAAACCTGCGGGCTCGGCAATCCACTCGCCTTGGCCTCCCAAAGTGTGGGCCACTCAACCCGGCCCACTCTGGTTTTCAAGAACTCCTTTTTCTGTTCCTTGGTCAAAAAGATTGAATTTCTGTCACAGTTTTGTTGTTCACTGCACAGTTGTGCAACTTGGGCAACCCACAGGTCAAATCTGGGAGATGAAGATAGAAAAAAAAAGAAAAGTCAACACTGTAGCAGAAATTCTTCAAGTTTTGACCTCCCTCTCCAATCTGCCTGTTATTGTTTACTTTTTTAAAGAACTATTCAGGTAGTTACTAACACATATGTTACAAACTCTACAAAATATTATTATTGTTTCACTTTAGTCTGTTTTATTTTGAAGACATTGAAAAGCAAGGTAAAAGTCTTCACCTCATATTTATAATTTTTGGTGTTATTCAGTTTCCTCTGATATCATTTTCCTCTAGCTCAAAGAACTTCCTTTAACATTCTTTTTTTTTCTTCTGCAGTTTAGAATTTTGCTTCAGATCTTGTAATTTTCAGCTCTAGAATTTATTTTTTTCATGTCTTTCATTTTTCTTCTTGTTTTGCTAGGCATTTTTCCTTAAATCCTTGTTCATGTTTTTAATAGTTATTGTAAAAGCTTTGTCTGCCAATTTTATCATGTCACTTTTGAATCCATTTCTGTACTGTCTTATATTTGGGTCTATAAGAGTTTATATCATGGGTTACACAGGTTTGTAAAATAGTTATTTCCTCAAACAGCTTTTTGGTTTTGGGCCCCTCTTTTCTCCTCTTTATTTTATTTTCTCTAAGGCCTATCATCTTGTACCTGTTATTTTTTTTAGACTCCAGTTACACGTATATCACTCGAACTACTTTATCTACCTATGCTTGTCAGTCACTGAATCATGGTTTTTCCATAGGACCTGGCAAGTAACTGGTTGCTATGTAAATGCTTGTTAAATTACAAAAGTGCTTAATAACCTTTGAACATATAGCATAATACGGGACATAATTTAAACATATTAAAATGTATTTATAGTTTTTTATTTATCTCTTTTGAAATATAGTGCACTGAACTGACTCCAAAGGGAGAAAAACATGTTTTACTGACTGAAGAACATGGTAGATGAAGTAGTTCATTTTGAATGGCTTTAATTTCTCAATGAAAATGTCAGTGGTGAAGTTGCATATTCTAGTACAGTACTTAGGAACTGGAGTGGGGAGGTTTGAAATAGCTTCCTGAATTATTTATTAAAATACTGTGTGAGGAATCTGGTAATGAGTATTTGAACATGCTACAGGATCTAGTTCAAGAGAGACAGCTATGCTTGCTTTTGTGCAGCATGGAGTTTGTTTTTTATTGATATGAGATGTAATATTTTATCATTGTTTCTTTTTACTTAGGAAGTTAGGCTGCTTAATAAATACGGTACCGTGAAGAAGCTTTGCAGTCAAGAGGAACTTTTACCTGATTTTACTTTTATTTAATTCTTATTATTTTTATGCTAATTTATAATGTCTTTCGTGTAGTTTTATTTTCCTTGTTGTTCCATACCACTTGAACTGCCTCCTTTTGTTTTTTTAATTTTTTCTTATATCTGAAGAATTTATAGCTAAGTAGAATAATATTTTGAGTGATTTAAAAGTGCAAAGAGGCCAGCTTTGGAACTCTGAATTAAGACTTAGGGTTAACAATAAAATAAATGAAAATGCAGAGAGACCTGTTACCTCTCTCCCCTCAAAAAATCCAGAATACGTTTATCTGACAAGTAATAGATGACTCTTCAGGAGAATGCAGATTTTAATCAATTGAAGTTTTAGTACATAGCACAAGTAAGAAGAGCACTGGGCTTATTCTCCAAAGCAATGTCTCTACGAGGAAAAGTGATAGGAGAGGATGGAGCGATGGAAGGGGAGGTAAAGGTGCATTAACTGCATATAGAGGAGCAGTCTCAGCGGCACAGACAGTGGGTCATCATGCTAGCACATGGGTCATGTGATGGTAACGAAACTATAGCCCCTCCCGGGGTGGAGACTTCAGCATGATAATGAGGAAAGTTGGCTCAGGTTCATCTACAAGTTATTGGGATTGGAAGCTGGTTTTAAATGACTAGGTGACCATATTCCACGCAGGATTTGGGAAAAAACAAGCTGCAAGGTAGGAGGTTGTAAAATAGGCTGATTGTTCAAGTTAATTAAATTCCCGTACTCCCTGAAGATCCTTCCTGTCTGCTTACAGACCTAAATTTTGTTTGAATTATTTCATTTATTTCTGGGCATTCGGCAAAATTATACTGTGATGTTTTGCACTGTCCTTTGAGAGTTTCTTTTGTTTTTTCTTTAGAAATTTCTACACCTGGACCATCTTCTCCAAGTGGACTACCTGAAGAAGACAGTGTTTTATTTAACAAACTAACCTACTTAGGATGTATGAAGGTTTCCTCCCCACGTAATGAAGTGGAGGCTTTACGGGCAATGGCAACCATGAAATCTTCCAGTCAGTATCCCTTTCCTGTTACTCTTTATGTGCCAAATGTTCCAGAAGGTTCTGTGAGGTAAGCTCTAATTGTTCTAACCTATGAATTCACTTACACTCTGTAGATATGCAAAGCAAGCATTATATTTAAGCTTAGATTGTGTTCACTGTTTGAAAAGGGCATTTGTAAAATTATGCTTAGAATATTTTAAATAGAAACAAAACTGTAAAGATCTTGTAATCTGTATTTCTCTATTCTGAAGGAACACAAAAAACTGCCTTCAGCTTGTCATGTAACAATGGTTCAAAAAACTAGAGGGAGACCTAGATTTTAAGTTTTTAGCATTAAATTGGAAAGAAGCAAAATGGCTATTTTTCCTCTTATTCCTAATTAGGAATAATACATAATGTCATCTGAACCTCGAATTTCTTTAACTGTAAATCAGATAATGTTTTTTTCCTACATTCAACTTTCCAGTGACCTCAAATCACACTTGTGGTTCTATTCAAAATTTTCATCATATCTGGCCACTTCTGACCTACTCTAACTTGGTTGTCTTCTTCCCCTCTTCTTCCTTTCTTTTCCCTTCTCTCCCTTCCTCTTGTCTTAATCCCATTGGGCTGCTATAACAAACTGCCATAGACTGGGTGGTTTATAAACAACAGATATTTTTCACACTTCTGGTGTCTGGAAATTCCTAGATGAAAGCTCCAGCACATTTGTTGTCTGGTGAAAGCCTGCTTCCTGATTCATGTCTCCTAGTATGGATGAAGGGAATGAGAGAGCTCTCTGGGATCCTTTTATAAGGCGTTAATCCCATTCTGAAGTCTCTTCTTTTTCCCTCTTATCTCCTTCTTTCTTCATCAAAAGAAGATAAAGAGTTTGTCTATGTATATGTTTGTAAGATTTGCAAGAATATAAATATATTCTTTCCCTCTCTTTATTCACTGTGTCACTGTCATGTTAGACTCTTTATTCTTTCTCAAATGGCTTATCAGTCACATATTGTACCTCAGGAGGAGGTATGCATATGCTGTTTCCTCTGCCTAAGTCATCTTTCCCTGGTTTTCCAATGACTTGTCCATTACTCCTCAGTTTTTCCTCAATAAATGTTTTGTCATAAGACTTTTTTGATCACTCTCTCTTTCCTATGCTTGTCTTTTTTTTTTCCTTCATAGCACTTTTCTTTGATTTGATGTTACATTTATATTTATGACTAGACTTTAGGGATGGGTGATATAGATTTTACCAGGCAACGTACTTGGCTTTGGAGTAAATGAGTTGGATTAGTATTGGAAACACAAGAAAGAATAAATTGTCCGAAGAAAATGAAAAATCTTGTGTGTGTGTGTGTGTATGTGTGTGTATACGATTTGCATTAATATGAAAATAATATTTTCTCTTGCATTAGTGCTAGTTTAGTTTATGATTTTAAGATAGTGATGTTTATGTCATTTATTGGTATAGTAAAACAGTTTTTGTTCTTGGATGTTAATATTTTATCTAATTTTTCTTCGCTGTTCTGTAGAATTATTGAGCAATCCAGCAATGTGGAGATAGCATCTTTTCCAATTTATAAGGTGTTATTTTGTGCACGTGGACATGATGGAACGACAGAGAGCAATTGCTTTGCATTTACAGAGAGTTCCCATGGTTCAGAGGAATTTCAGATACACATTTTCTCCTGTGAAATTCAAGAGGCAGTAAGTATATTAGAGTGTAGCAGTTTGCCATAGAGATGTAATACAGTCATGTTTTTGAGTTATAATCTCCCTGTCCTATAAATACATTACGTAAATTGAAATATATTTCTAAAGACAAAGTTAATATTTGTAATGACAAAGAACTGAATATGAAATGCTAAGTCTGATATGTCTGTGCACTGAAATGATGTTGTAGGTAGGACACTCTCATAACTTAGCAAATATCATAGAATGGATGAGCTGTTCTCATACCCTACCATGGTAGTAAACTGCTTATACACAGAAAGGAAGAATATTTTTACACCTGTCTTATTATTTTTCCCTATTGGTTCATGTGATTTTTTAAAAGTGTCTTAACAATATGTGATTCTTTATGGGCTTGATAGTTGCATGTTGCTTTCATTTAGATATTGCACTAAGATCATTGATCTCTGTGATTTTTCTCAGGTGACTGTTATGGGCATTCAGTTAGAGGCTAGATTTTCCTCCTGTGAACTGGCTTAATTAAAAATGCAAATGATCACATAGAGCCAGGATATGAACTTGTTGTCTTTTGAAGGTGCTAGGAAGAACTTACTAATTGATAGTTTATTATCAGATAGAAGAAATTGGTCAGAATCAAATGGCTGTTAAAATCAAATGGCTGTTAAATACACTGAAACATCACTTTCTTTTCTATGTCTGCTGAACTATTCCCAAATGAAACATAACTTTTACTATTGAACCTTGAGTACTTGTAATCATTTCAAAGGCATAATAAGTGGGTTTGAATGGCAAGATCTCAGGTGTATTTGCTTTGGAAATATAAATTGTCTGTAGAGAATGCTATAAGCAGCAGTTATTCTAGTCTCTGTTTACCATGAAACATGAATAAACCATTACATTAACAGGAGTTTTGAGAGTATATTTCTGCCACAAAACAGCTTTCATGAAAAGGTAGATTTCTGTGAGTTTGTTACTAAGCATAATGGGTATGTCAATTCTTGTGCCCTGGTGATCAGTTTGTTCTACACTAAAAAGAACATGCACAGACACACTTAATTTAGACTGCCACCATAGAAGTTCTCTGCCAGAACCCATGCCTTGTGTAAGAAGTTCAAGTTTTGTGTTTTGTTTTTTTGGATAGGGCTTAATCTGTCTTATCTCAACACTTGAATACCCATGTACACACTGTCTTGTTATTCACAAGGGTCTGGTAGATAGGAGAGTGAATGTGCTGTTGGTGAGCCAGACACGTGGGAGGCAATGAATAGAAGAAGTGTGCTCAAAGGCTGTGTGTTGTGAAGGGGAGGGTGGGAGTATTTCTGATCCTTACAAACTTCACTGCAGAGGTGTGGAGGCAGATGGTAGAACCCTGGTGTTTCATGTTCGTGGCAGTCATTTAACACACTTGTGTGGTTTCTGGATCATTGGAGCTCAACCTCAAGGAAGTGAGCTTTGAAAAACTGGAACCTGCGGCATGGAGAGAGATGTGGCTGCAGAAGGAAATGGAAGGGGCCTTGCTGCAAGCAGTTTCCATAGCTGTGACGGTATGGCACTCTCCTTTTGGATTATAGCATCCACTTTTTTATGCATGGTGGGGGGCGGGGGCGGTGTTCGTTATGTTTGAAAGCTTTAATTGTAGGTAGGCAGTAGAAAAACTTGTGGGAAATTCTTGGCCAGACCATTTTGGATATGGTATTAAATATTACTAATTACATTCATAGAGAACATGTTTGTTACATTACACATTGTGAGAAAATGATTTTCATCTATTATTTGATTTTTTAAGAGTATGTTTCAGAAAATGTTATATTGTGGGGCATTAGTGGTAAAATACATTGCTTGAAGGAGATATATATGATAGTGGTCACTAGCCTTATTATGAGATATCACTTATTTTATTTTAAAGATGTAGGATACGATTCAGGAATAGGTACATAAATGGTCATCATACAGGTAAAGTTTGGGCCTCCTTTTGATCCTCACCTCACCTGGTTTGAGATCAGGTACCCTTTTTGATGTTGAGACATCACTTCTAAATAAAGAATAACTCATTATAAATACAGAGCTTATGCCAGGCACTGTGCTAAGTATTAACATCTCATGACCAGATAGTATTTGTTTGGACAAGTAGCTTTATGTTTCTCTGTGTCTGGAGCGGTTCTTTATGATTATTTTCCAGATTATTACTAGTTTTCTCCTTTTTATTCTCAGTAGTGTTCTGGTTTGGATGATAAATTGTATGGTTGCCCTTTGTTTATCCTAATGCTAAGAGTGGATATTCGAAAAGGGTTTCAAATTGAAGTCTTTGACTCTGAAGAGCTATATCATTTTCAGTAACAATTTTCCTGTTGCTTAACTATTATAAAAACCAACTAGAATTCTGCCTTTCAGTTATCTTTTATAAAGGGACTATATCGGTGATATAGTTTGCATGCCAGCTACCTTTGTATCTTAGCTGCGCTCTTTATGGAAGTGATCCAACATTTTTCTCTTTGCTCTCAAAAAATAATTATGCTTCTAATTAATCTGAAGTCTCACATACTGGTTGTCTAGTTATCTGGTTTCCCAGTGTCTCCTGTTCCGTGGGGAATGGACAACTTTAGTACTTAGTTTTTGGGTCACTTTTGATCGGCATAAGCAGCACAAATAGCTCAGGAACCAGGTGACAGACATTCTCATCAGTTCAGTATGTACTGTGCAGTGCAGCAGTGCCACTAATTTATTTGCTTTTGTTTTTGTTTTGCAGCTTTTCTGGGCAAGATCTGAAGATGTTTGTCAATTAAAGGCAAGATGTTTTCTCAAGCAGGAGTAGCAGCATGGCTGCCACTACCAACTGCCCTGTCATGCTCTTACTTCACTGTAAAACCCCTCAGGCAGCAGGCACCAGCAGTGGTAGAAGGATACTCACTGAGGGTGATACTTTCTTGGACACCTGTGACACAAGGATTGGGAGTTCCCATGAGTGGCTAGGACACAATTGACTTGTTATACTGGATATTCTTCTGCAGGGCCCCGTTTAAGTGGATCTCAATAACCTATGTCAAAAATGTTGGGCTTTCCAGCCAGAAGTATCTCGATGTCAATGATACTTGTGCAGGAAGAATGGTGTGTAGGCTTCTGCTGAAGAATTGCTGGCAAAGCAAGCTATCAGAAAGCGTAGCCAAAAATCCAAGGAGGCACCTTGTTGCACCTTTATGGATGTATTACATAGAGCTTCTAAAATATACTTTAAAAGAATTACTTGACTCTATTTGAGGTTTTATTTCTGCTAGGCAGTGTAACTATTTTCTTCAAAGCAGATTTTGATCTTGTTCATATGTTTTAGCATACTTTATCAGTACTAGCAACTTTCAGTGTTTTATTTTAGAAACGTGGTTTTTAAAGGCATTCAGAGGTATTTCATGATAAATATCAAGGGCATTATTGGGAAGATCTTTATTTTTATTCTTTACTGGTTTTTCCTGGGGTTGCTGATATGCCACTGTATAAAAGGAAACTTTTTTTCTTTGCATGGGAAAATACTCTTTCTGCCTAAATAGATATTTATTGAGTTGGTATGTTAGATAAAAACCTTATTTTGGGAGATAATTTAGAAGTTATCTTGTGTTTTCCTTAAATAAATTGTTTTTTATAATTGTTAAAGTTTCTTAGATTATATGCCTTTTATTTTAGCTCTGTTCTATTAATACTCTATTAGACCAAGTTGTTTTTAAAAAAAATTTTTTTTGAGTTGGAGTCTTACTCTGTCACTCAGGCTAGAATGCAGTGGCATTCTACTCACTGCCAACGCAACCTTGACCTGCTGGACTCAGGTGATCCTTCTGCCTCAGCCTTCCAAGTAGCTGGAACTACAGGCATGTGCCACCACACCTGGCTAATTTTTAAAAATTTATTATAGATACAAGGTCTCGCCAAGTTGCCCAGGTCCCAAACCTTTGGGCTTAGACGTTCCTCCCCTTGCCTCCGCCTCCCAAAGTGCTGAGATAGGCATGAGCCACTGCATCCAGCATGTTTTTAAAATTTTACTGCATACCTTTCAAGGTACCTTTCATAAAATTATTTTTCTACATTTCTTTCTTGGGTGAACATTTTCTTGATACATGGTGTTTCTAAAAGAATGGGTTCACTTTCACCAATATTATTGGAGAAATTAGGTTTGCTATTTATTTCAAGTAAATACCTTTGCTATTGAATAGCATTGTTTGAACTTTTAACATATAATACACATTTGAGAGTTTGGAAAATACTGAAATAAGAAAATTTAAAAGATGCTCAAAATTCCACCAAGGTTAACATTTTAGTGTATCTTTGTTCCCAATATCTACATGTGCCCTTCTCCCTGTCTCTTCAAAAACAACAATAAATCCAAACAGATACACAATTTTGTGTTTAATTAATACTTTCTACAGGTTCTGCTTTCTGGGAAAAAATTGTACTATATTATTTATCAATAAACTTTTACCTTCTGTGAAGAAAATGCCCGTGCAAAATTATTTGTGTGTGATGTGTTTTAATAGTGTGATATATGTTGAAGTGTTTGCTATGATGTATATTTTTAATTTTCTTTTTCTGATATATAGTCAGATGTCTGTACCTCTGAGTTCTGTATCTGTGTGTTCAACCAACTATGACTGAAAATATTTGCAAGAAAAATGTAATGTTGCTTCTGTACTAAATGTGTACTGATCTTTTTGTGGTCATTATTCCCTAAACAATACAATATATAGACTATTTATATAGCATTTACAGTGTATTAGGTATTATAAGTAATCTAGAGATTATTTAAAGTATATGGAAGATGTGTATTGATTATTTGCAATTATGACACAATTATATATAAGGGGTTTAAGCATCTGTAGATTTTGGTGTCTCTGGCGAGTCCTGGAAACAACTCCCCTTGGATACTGAGAGACGACAGTATTTGGTTATTCAATTTGTTACAAGAACTATGGACATTGATAATCATTATTTCTGAAGTTACTGTACCAATCCTTGGATTACCTTTCCAACTTATTGACAGACTCTAGAATTCGCAAATGATTTTAACCTTTTTGGCAGAAATAGCATCTTATCAGACTGACTTATTCAGTATTAACTGCATTTTTATTGCTGTTAATGAAGTTAGTGTACTGTTGTGTTCTTTATCCCAAAGAGGGAAATGTGGAGTCTTTTCCCTTTATCAGTCTCTACCACTCTGACTCAGCTCCATATACTTAACCTTTTCAAAAAGAAATTCCTGAATGCCTTGCTATCTACTTTAGAATTTGCCATGTTCTTTGACTTTTTTGGTATGACTTTCTGATGTGACAAGCTACCTGATCTGACATAGAGAGTATGAAAGAGAAGAGATGGAGAAGGGGGCAAAAGGAATAAATATGGTTGAGGATTTGACTCTATTGGTGAATACAAAATTATGTGAAAGTACTCCCCTGTTTTCACATATAATGCTTTCTTTAAAATATATGTAAGTTGAATATGTAAAAAGTATACAATACATTGCATTTTATTTGGCAGTAGGAAGATAAACCACTAAAAGTAATTGAAAGTTCTTTTTTACTCTTGACCTTGTAGACATAATCTTCAGTGACACATTTCTAGTATGTTCTTTGATGCTGTTTTCTTCTATCAAACTTAAATCATTGGATTGAAACCAATATGTATCCAACTGAGGTGAAACATTTCTGCATTGGTTTACTGATTCCCTCTCACCTGATCAAGCACCTTCAATTTACATTTGCTCATGTATAAGCACCATGTACTCTGCTGTATTTCTAGCAACTAGTACTACCTAGTACACAGTAGGTGCTCACAAAAAGTTTGTTGAATGAATGAGTGAATTTATTATTGTCTTAATTGTATAAGATTTGAGGCCTGTAGTTATTATTCATATCAATCCTTTGTTGCTTTTGTTGTTTTTACTAATTATATAAGATTATAATGGGTTAAAAATTTTAGGAACATTGTGATGTAAATACAGTGCTACTGTAGAAGTTGAGCTCCAGCTGGCAAGCAGCATTCCTATGCAGTTGTTAAAGGTGCTAATTGATTAAACTATTAATTTGGCATTAGGAAGGTCCTTTAATCATTCATTGATTAACAAATATATGTGTGGCTGTTGGAAATTGAGGACCACTTGTTTTTTAATGTGATAGACTGGATACAAGAAAACATCACAGGATGTGTGCATAAAACATGAGGAGAGACCTCACACTTCAACAAACTACTGTTAAAGGGACTGTTCCTTTCTCAAGCAAGTTACAAGTATTACGTTTTTAGACTAATACAGCTCAGTGAATAATTTGAATTTACTTTATCCCAAGTGAAGGGTTTGTCAATATTTACAGCAGTTTCCTTACTTGTGCTTTCCAATATGAAGTATTGAAGATATGACTTTTGTTTAACCCCGTACATTTCACCTTTTTTTCTCTTTCAACTTATGGGTAGGCTGAGAGATTTGGAGAATTTTTTGTGCTTCAAGCTCACTAGCCTGAGATATGTTTCTTTTGATACCAAGGAAGAGACTAACTTCTGGAAAAGTATGGAATTTAGACTACTTCTCTACTTTAAGGGCAGAATATGAGCCATATATATATGTATATGATTACTAGAGTAGACTAATATTAATTACTAATAGACAGATAAGACCATTTCCATTTTAGCATTTGTCATGGGAATCCTCTAATGCTTTTATACCACAACAGCACTCAACATACTTGAAGCTCTTTAAATTATGTTACCATGTATGCTTATTGTTAGAACCAGTATTTGCTTTATTCTATGTCTCAGTACCTAACTCTTCAGAAGTGAAAGAGAAATTGGAGACTTGGGCTAAAACCTTGCTTGTGAGTGTTTGTTGGGACGATTTAGATGCCAGCATCCTTTTAGTAATTCTCTAAGGATCCGTTTAGTTTTATAGTATATTTTGAAGCCTAGAAACATCTATAAATATAGGTTATTTTGTGAACTTAAATTAGTTTAACATTTTTATGATCATGCTTGAGTACCAGAGTTAAGAGAAGTAAAGCAAGAATATTTGAAAGATGACCCTCCTCCTCCCCACTCCCCCTTTTTTTTGTAAAAGGAAACGATTCTTAGTAAAAGAATTCCTCAGTGTGAACATACTTGGGTGTATCTATATACTTTAGCCAGGCATATATACATAAATTAATTGAACTTGATTCTTTTCTTTCTTTAATGCTCTGTGAGATGAAGTCATTGATAGAAGTGAACTAGTCAAAACAATGTCAGGAGGCAGTCTCTAAAAAGCCACCAACTCAGCCGGGCTCGGTGGCTCAGCCTGTAATCCCGCGCCTTTGGGAGGCTGAGGTGAGTGGATTGCCTGAGCCTGCGGGTCTGCCTGCGGGTTCAAGACCCGCCTGGGCAGCGAGACCTCATCTCTACAATAAATCAAAAAATCAGCCAGGTGTGGTAGCGCGTGCCTGTAATTCCGGCTACTTGGAAGGCTGAGGCGGAAGGATCGCCGGAGCCCAGCAGGCGAGGCTGCGGTGGCCGGGAGCGGCCACTGCACTCCAGTCTGGGTGACAGAGTGAGACTCCAACTCAAAAAAAAAGCTACCAACTCTGAATTCTTTTCCCAGCCTGGTTACTTAATAGCGACGTGATTTTAGGCAAGTTTTTGAACTCCATTTTATACTCATTTATAAGAAGTATTGCAAAATACCTGTTAGGCCTGCTGTATAATAAGGTTATTTTAAAGGCTCTGAAGTAGCATATATTAATGTAATTTATAAATGAGAAAGCTATATAGATATAAAGAGTCATTATTGATTGATAGCAATAAATAACACCTAAGTTCCCTAACTTGTTTTATGTATGTGGCACAGAAAAGTCTCTGATTGCTTGTAATGGAGGAAAATTTACATAATAATATTCCTTGTCTGGAGAATAAATTTTCCCTGACAAGTGATTTGCATGCTATATATAAACAATACCCACGTGTTACTAGCTAGTAAGGCAGTTTCTTTGAAGGGTATCTTGCCATTTCATTAACTATCTGAGAATGTCTTCAAGAAAATGTTCTGTAATAATGAACACTGGTACTGATGGTGTTAGCTTCTGACTAGGTCTCTGGTGTGTTTGTATAACAGGAGTGGTTCTGAATTGAAGACATGAAGTTATTGTTTCTCTTGGATGTTTCTCATTCTCTTGCCTGTCTTCTCTCATGATGCTCCAATCCAACTGGCAGCTCCTAAATCATAGTTCCCTTCTGGTCTTTAGTATATATGTTGGTGGTACTTACCGTTAAATTTTGTATAAGTTTGAAAACATACTTCATTTTGAACTTAAGTTTCCATGAAATGATGCCCAATTATTAATTCAGAGTTAAACAGCCTATGGAATTAATCTGCCTTTTAAAGGATACTTTTGCAGTATTTCCCTTCTTGGACTTCTCATTGATTATAGTCCTTAGGCTATAATAATTTAGAGATAGGAGGTCTACATTCGCCATATACATAGATGATGCACATTTTGTCATGCAGTAACTAAACAACTGGTAAATGCTTAGACTATATATTCCTTATTTCCTAAAGAAAATTATGGTCATGGAAAGTTGTAGAACCGAGAATTAGGAGGGAAGTGTTTCAGATTGTGGTTAAAACTTTGCCTAATGGTGTTTCCATTTTTATTTTTTTAGGTCAGCAGAATTTTATATAGTTTCTGTACAGCATTCAAACGTTCTTCCAGACAAGTGTCTGATGTTAAAGAGTCGATTATTCCTACCCCTGACAGTGATGTGTTTACCTTCAGTGTCTCCCTGGAGGTAAAAGAAGACGATGGAAAAGGAAACTTCAGGTAAGGCATTTGAAAAGAATAAAAATTAGCATTGTGCCTGAAATACAATATTGACTAATATCAAGTTTCTAGAAATGATACAGTGTTGACATAAAGCTTTAAACTGATAAAGAAATATTTGGCTGGTGAATGAATGTGTTTCACTCTTCTCATGCTTTTCAGATATTGCAATTATTTTCTTTATGATTTAAAAAATCCTGATATTTATTGTAGAAAATTTAGTAAAAGAATAAATGTAGGAAGAAAAACCAGTTATGTCAACAACAATCTGTTTTAATATTTGGTTTAGTCCCTTTATTTCTAGGATAATTTTTACACAGTTGTATATGTGTATTTTTTTCTCTTTATGATACAAGATTTTTTCATTAAAATGTTCTTATTCTTATTATACGATGTACAACTATATATAAGGATAAATCAGTGCGTTATGTGTGTACTAAATTGACACCTAAAAGGTGAGTGCCTTTAGAATATTTTTTGCTAGCAAATCGTCAGCTCCCAGGATAGGACTAGGATCAGACTAGGTGCTCTATAAATTATTTGAATAAATAGATAAATCAATGATTAAATATTGAGACATGAAAAATAATTTGCAAGCCTATATTTTATTTTCTTTTTCTTTTAAATTACTAAAGCATATTGAAAAAAATCCTTGGTTACCTCATCTTTTAGGATTAAAGAAAATATTACTTGATTGTGATAGTCATTTCACTATATACATCATATCATCACATAGTATACTTTGAATATATACAATTTTTGTCAATTATACCTCAATAAAGCTGAAAAAAATAAGGAAAATATTAATTAAAAAGTTCTTATTCTAAATTATTTTTGTTTTGTTTTTAAATTATTTTTAATGGTTACTGATAATATATGATTTGACCATCAGCTAATTAATCATTTCTTTTTATTATACACTCAGAATGTTTTTATTAAGTTCAGAAATATACAATTAACAAGAAGGAAACAATTTAATGCTCACCCATGTGCCTTAACTGTGCCTTTAATTTTTTTTTTTTTTTGAGTCAGATAATCTCTGTTGCCCAGACTGGAGTGCAGTGGCACGCTCATGGCCTCTGAAGCCTCCACCTGCTGGGCTTAGGCAATCCTTCCACCTTAGCCTTCCAAGTAACTGAAACTACAGGTGTGGGCCACCATGCCTGGCTAATTTTCTGATTTATCGTACAGACGTGATCTTGCCAAGTTGTCCAGGCTGGTCTCAAACCCGTGGACTCAGGCAATCCTCTCACCTCTGCCTCCCAAGGTTTTGGGATTACAGGCATGTGCCACCGTGCCCGGCAACTATGCCTTTAATTCTTTTTTTTTTTTTAGTGTTTCAAAACACGAACCCCCACAGACTCATTTTTAATATCATTCTTTTATCTGGATCAGAAATACAAGTGACAAGCATACATGGAAAGGGCATAAGGGCATTCCTATAATCTCTCTGGTGACACACACGAGAAAACCTTCCAGTTGTGCCTTTAATTCTAACAATGATTTCTAGGTATGTGTTTCAGATATAGAAATTGAGTCTCAGATCAAATAAGTTGCTGAAAGTATCTTTTCGAATAAGACAACCCATGTCTCGTACATTTATTGTTTTAATGAAATAATTCATAAGAATAGCCAGGCATGGTGGCTTACACCTGTAATCCCAGCACTTTGGGAAGTGGAGGTGAAAGGATTGCCTGAGCCCAGACCAGCCTGGGCAACATGGCGAGACCTCTTCTCTACAGTAAATAAAAAAATTAGCTGGGCATGGTAGCATGCACCTGTGGTTCCAGCTGCTTGGAAGGCTGAGGCGGAAGGATAGTTGAGGCTGTGGTAGTCATGAGTGTGCCACTGCTCCCCAGCATGGGCAACAGAGTAATTCCAACTCAAAAAAAAAAAAAAAATTGTAAGACTAGTCAGTTTAGCCTAGACTAGAATCTGATTGACTTGCCCCAAACTATATCTTTGTCTTTTATGTATATTTACCTTGATATGTCACTGTCATCTCAAATTCTAGGTGCTTAAAAATAAGCTCTTCTTCTCACTTTATTTTTTTTTGAGATTCACTTTCTGTGGCCCAAGCTGGGGTTCAATGATATAATCATAGCTTACTATAACCTTGAACTCCTGTGCTCAAGTGATGTTCTTGCCTCAGCCTCCTTTGTAACTGGGACTGCAAGTGTGCACCACCATGCCTGACTACTTAAAAAAATTTTTTTTTATAAAGTCTTGCTTTGTTGCCCAGGCTGGTCTTGAACTACTGGCCTCAAGCGGTCTTTCTGCTTTGGCCTCCCAAAATGCTGTGATTACAGGCATGCATCATGACACCCAGCCTTCTTCTTATCACTTTCTTTGCCTTGGGTTTCACTGTTTTACAGGCACTCATGACCACTCAATCAGGTAAACCAGAAATATGACAGTCTTATAAAATGTAAATGAACCTTATTCCTAACTTTATTTTAAAAATTAAGATTTGAAATTGTATGATGATATTTTTAAGATCTTGGTTTTAACCTTGGTTAGGAGATAAGATACAAGGCTTTTATCAGTGCAGTTTTAAATTTAATAGCAGTTCTTCTTTGCTAACTCTAAAATTTATAGTTTTCTGGTGTGAGTTTAGTACATCTTGAAAATAAGAATGTTGCTACTTAAATACTTTGTTGTTTTAGTCTAACCTTGGAATAGGTTTTTTAAAAATCATTGTATTGGATTATTATATTGGTAATTCCTGTTGTTTTTGAATATTTCAGTCCTGTGCCAAAGGACAGAGATAAATTTTATTTCAAATTAAAACAAGGAATAGAGAAGAAGGTTGTGATTACTGTGCAGCAACTTTCTAACAAAGAATTAGCTATTGAAAGGTAAGCAGATGCTCCTGAATGCACCACAGGCTTGTATTGACACTGTTACAGTGTTTTATCTCAGCTGTGTTAGTCTCTGTGGCTTTTCACCATACTTCAGTTTTTCCAGTTAAAAATTAGGATGAAAATAATAATGCTTTCTCCACTTAATTTAGATGTAACTTGTTCATTGAAAATCTCAATTGATGTGGGAAATAAACATGAAATGGCTTTATTTTTCAGTAAAAACAACTTTAAACCTGTTTGTTTACACTACTTTTTCCTGTTGTTCTTTACCATCCCTTTTCAGTCATTTTTTTTTTCCATTTTTCAGTCAAATTATTTTTTTTTACTTAGCTCCTGGGATTTTGGAAGCTTTAAAAGATGGATGCTTATCTTTTAAATAGATAAATGCCCACACATACAGTGGTGTGTCAATTCACAGGAAAACTGTTTAGAAAACAAAATAACTTGTTGTACAAAAAATACTATAAACAGAATCAATAATAAATGATAGTTCTGGAAAAAAATATTTGTAATGGAAATAACATGAAAAGTTAATGTCTACGATATACATACATTTCTTAACACTTGGCAGAAAAGAGGAGAAAAGCAGGTTAGTGTATGAATAGACAGATTGCAGGAACACCATTCAGATGGCTAACAAACATGTGTAAAGATGTCCTGATTCACAAATAGATAGGGAAATGCAAATTAAAGTAACCTTAAGATACTCGATTGTAAAAACATGCACTGCTGATGGAGGAATGGGGAGAGAGGGTATCCTCAAATTGTTAATGGTATGTAAAGTGTGTGTACACCCTTTTCAAAAACCAATCTCTCTACATTTGTAAAGATTTAAAAACCTATAATTGGACTTAATTTCTATTATTCTAGGGAATCTATGCTATTGGAAGTAAAAGTATCCCAGTGTCTGTACGTATTTTGAAGCATGTTTATGAATAAACAGCATTGTTTGCTGCAGTACAAACTGGCAATCCAACCGCCTATTCACTTGGCTTCAAGGAGTGGGAGAAATTGGAGTGGGAGAAATTGGTGAGGAGTGGGGGAAACTGGTCAAGTGAAAGAAAAGCCTCTTCACGAGACTGCTGTATAGCTATGCCCATTCCCTCTTGCTCCCCCCACAGTCTCTAGTCTGGGATGAGGGTGGGGGGCAGTTGCAGTGTTGACACCATGGTTGCCTCTCACCCTCTTAAATCTATGAGAAAGTGTCTGGCCCTTAATTATTTACAGCTTTCTTTAGAAAGCAGGATATTTAGCTTCACTTTGTTCCCATCTTTGGATCCTGCCACGTAACAGAGAAAGTTCTGTTCAGCATCTTGGTGTAGTGATGTATTCGTGTGTTTTTAATTGTTTGTAAAATTTAGCCATATTTTAAAAAAATCATCGATTTTAAGATGATATGTCTTCATATTTGACATCTCTGGAATTGTGGTATGTTTTACAACCACAATTGTGGCATCTTTTAATTATAGTTGTCATCTTTTAATTGGTTGGCATATTTTAATTATAGTTGTCACCTTTTGTCTTTCTTAGAATAAAAAGTACTCTTAAAATTGATGAAAAATAGCTGAAGATAAAAGGCACTTTTGATAGTGAATATTACAGTTCTAATAGCATGTGATTAGACATATACATATAGCAATCTTTTAATTTTGGAGGGTTAGCATCCGATTTGGCAATGTTTTGAGCTTTTTATTTGGAAGTAATTTCAAATGTACAGCAACTTAAAAAAAATAAATAAAACTTAAAAAATAAAACAGAGAAAACCTGTGTACTTTACTCAGATTCATGTATTGATGACATTTTTATCCCTTTTGCCTTGTGTGTGTGTGCACTCTCTCTCTACCTACACACACACACAATTGTTTTTCTGAACAATTTAAGATTAAGTTATATGCTACAAGGCCCTTTACCCCTAAATACTTTAGTGTAAATTTTCTAAAAATAAGAATATCTCTTCTATAACCACAGTCAACTTCAGTAAATTTAGCATCTATACACTACTTTTTATCTAACCTACCATTTGTCTTCCTATTTTGTCTGTTAACCCAGTAGTAGCATCCTTTCCCCCTCCAGTTCAGGATTCACTCTAGGATCAGACCTTGTATTTGTTTGCCACATGTCTTTAGCTTTCTGTAATCTGGAATATCTCTATAATCTTTCTGTTTCTTCAGAAATGGACACTTTTGAAGAATATACACCTTTCTCCTCTTTTTTTTTTTTTTTTTTTTTTCTGAGTTGGAGTCTCTGTCACCCATACTGGAGTGCGGTGGCCGCTTCCGGCCACTGCAGCCTCGACCTGTTGGGCTCCGGCGATCCTTCCCTCTCAGCCTTCCAGTAGCTGGAACTACAGGCGTGCGCTACCATGCCCAGCTAATTTTTTAAAATTTATTGTAGAGATGAGGTCTTACCAAGTTGCCCAGGTGGGTCTCGAATCCACGGGCTCAGGCAATCCACTCACCTCAGCCTCCCAAAGCGCGGGATTATAGGCTGAGCCACCGAGCCCTGCTCTTTCTCCTCTTTTTAATATAACATTGCTCATTTTGGATTTGTGTAATATTTCCTTGTGATTAGATTCAGATTTACATTACTGCATGGGTTATGTGACCTTCACAAGGTATCACATCTGGAGGCACTAGATAACCAACTGTCCCTTACTGGTGATATTAATTTTGATTACTCAGTTGAGATGTCTGATTTCTTCACTCTGGAATTACCTTTTTTCCTCCCGTGTGACTACTAAGCAGTCTCTAAGGAGACACATTAAGACCACAAAAATATATCCTTCTTATCAAAATTTCCTTTTTGATTTAACTTTCATTCATGATTCTTGTCTGATCCAGTCTTTACTATGATGGTTGCAAAATGATAATTTCCCAACTTCTGCACTCTTTCTACATTTACCAGCCAATCTTTGGTGTTCTGATGTAAGCCAGAGCTTTCCCTTTTCTTCTGTTTATTTATCTACATATTATTGGTATAGACTCCTGAATTTCCTTTTTTCCCCTCATACTTTATCATTCACTTCAGCACTTATTTTGGTGTTCAGACTGCCCCAGAACTAGCCAGTGGGAATTACCTTCAAACCCTTTCTTTAGGACATGACCCATCATTCTTTTGAGGACAACAAAACATATTGTGTATAACAAAAAGCAACTTTCAACTTAACAAGTCTGTAGTAACACATTTGAAAGTATTAGTTATTGGATTGATTAATTTAACTTTATCTTGCTGATAATTTAGTAAAGAGAATTTTTAAGGCAGCCATGACATTATTATGTGTCCTTTAAAAAAAATCTTCCCACAAATTGTTTAGAATAAGAGATCTAAAATATATATATTTAAATTTAGAAATTTTAGTTTAAAGGATCTATTTTTTGGACGTTGCCCATTAGAATTTTTAGTGACATACTTAACGTTAATAGTGGGTTTAGAATAAGTTTTAACCATATAAGCAAGAAGTGTTTCTAGAGAAGATGTAGAAGGGGCAGTCCCTGTGTTCTCCTAATTCTCACTCAGAAATAGACTTAAGATAGCAAAGAAGACAAAGCCCTGAAGGTATGAGACCTTTTAAGACAAAACTCCTCTAAGAGCTTGATATGTTGGGAATGAAAAGTGTGTTCTTAAAATCTTACTGTCTCAGGCTCCCAGTCTTTTTAAATGGCCACCTGAGGTGACCTGAAAAATCACACCCTTCAGAGGGAGGAGACTGAGAGTACCCCCATTTAGTCACAGGTTAAGCTTTCAAGAACATAAAACAAGATGAAAGGGAGCTCATCTGATTTTTATTTCAGGAACCCACAGTAAAGTTTGTCTTAACACATACCAGTCTAGTCAGAACTACAGAACTGACTAGTCAGCATGTCTGTCTTAGACAGTGGACTTATAGTGGTTCTAGGTCTGTGTTTTACCCTATGATACCCCTCTTTATGACAGAGCACTCCAGAAAGACAAGGACAAAGTAAAAGGAAAACAAAAAAGGCTATGTCTGGAAGGGACCAACCTATAATATTCATACCACCAAGTGCCAAAAAATACATCAGAGTCACTGTATCAAAGCTAGTCACACGTAAAACTTTTTCTCTCATTAATCTTAAATTTGGAAAAGAAAAAGGAGATAGTGATTTTTACCATCTGCTTAACTGGAGTCCACAGAGGGAACCCGGGACCCTGGCTGGTAAGAAATTCTTACCCTTTTGCCAGCAGATCAGCTTCATGAGTTCTCTTCCCTGCAGCTTTCTGAAGAGCAGAATGACTTTGATCATCCTCCTCTCAGTGCCCTTGGCCCCTGAAGTTTTGCTGAAAATCACTGAAATGAGGCAGATTGAATGGTAGGAGAAAAGGCGTGCACATTTATTTACATCTAAATGGGGAACCCTCAGAATGAGGTGTAGAAGCTTATTTGCTACCTTGAGGGTACAGTAAGAATAGGGACTTGGATCCTGATAAACAGGCTGTGGGAGGGGGGAGACAAGGAGTTTTGTTGAGGGGCCAAGAATAATTACCAGGGAACAGAAATTAACTTGTAAATAGTTCTCCTTGGAATTTAAATGATCCTTGGAGACAGTCATTATCTTGAAAGGATCTGTTTAGGTGTGGTAATATTTTTGGTTTCCTTTACTGTAATGAATGATGAGATAACGGGGAATAAGAACAATTTTTGGGGGGGTGGACCAGTGCTATCTTTAGGTAGTCAGGTCTCTTCCAGGCTTGTTACTCTCTAAGGGTTTTTAATTTAAAATACTTAATATACCAGGGATCCCTATTTTTGGGAGAAATATTTTTTATGTCCTTTACCAAAACCTGCAATTGTTTTTCACATATCCAACAAAAATTTACTGAATCCATGTTAGATTTTTTTTGTTGCTTTTTTCATTCGTCCTATCAATTGACCTCTATAAACCCCCAAATGAAAATTGTCTAAGATTTCCTCAGGCTAATGAATCTTCCCCAAACAGTACTTTATTCAGCGTAATAGATGGAATTACCTGTAATAC